TATCCGCAGTAAAAACGGTAAAAAAAACAAAAAAAAATACCGCTTTTTCTGCGCGGGCGCGAAAGGGTACCCCTTAGCAAAACAACGATGGCGAACCGGCTTAGTATTTGTAAGTAAATGATTATGCTACTATTATATATGTGCAGTATATGAATATGTACATACTGATCATCTAACCGTCCTTTTTGGACTTTCTGCCTCCCAGTCGGTGACCGTCAGCTCAGAATGGACCCTCCAAGGTTTGGAAGAACTCCCTCTCCCATGCAAGCGCCACAGTGTTGGAGCTGATCAGCCAGGGTAAAGGCCCTTTCTTGACGAATAGACTTCCGAGTAAGAGAGGACAGTTTTCAGAAAGCATCTCAATGAAAGGTGTGGCAGAGGAATAGACAGCGGCACTTTGAAATGGGAGAGGCTAGCATAAACAGTAAAAGCTCTTGTGAAGGGAGTCATCTACAGGAGGTGTCTTGCGCTGCATATGCTCGAACCCAGTGGTGCATGTGCAAAATCACTCCTCGCGTGTCTCAAATCTCTCAGCAGTTGTGATGTCATTGAGGCTTCACTGGACCTCCCAAGATTTGAGAAGTTCGAGCACACGCAATGATTGTGAGCCTAGGGCCCATAGATGGAAAGGATGACGTTTGAGACATTCGAGCTTTTGCAGTGCTTCTGCACTTACACCACTACAGAAAATTGAAAGTTTGAGCATCTGCAGTGATTGTGAGCCTTGTAAGCCAAAGGTGAACAATCATTGCACAGGCTTGAATGGATGGCTCAAGTCCTTCCATTAGACTAAAAGAATTGAGAAATTTGATAACTCAAGCATATGGCATATGCAGAAATTAATATGCACCTACACCGTTGAGGAACATAAATTGAACATATGCAGCACAGTGTTCAAAGTTCTCATCGAAGTTGAGAAGTTGTTCACTCTTGCCTAATCTGCATTTCTTTGACTTTTCTTGAGCTTTTGACGTGTCATCTGGTACCCCTTCACAAGCTAAATTTAAGAGGCCCTGCAAATACCAATAAACCCTTGTGACAGGACAGGTGGACTTTGGCATCCCGCTCCCCAAACATGGAACAAGAGATTTTCTTCGTTCCAGAACGAACGTCAGCCGGCTTCGCCGGCGCTGAGGCTTCGACGGCTGCACGGGCCAACAGCTCCTTAAAGGCCATGGCCTGTCAGGACCCCATCGGTGAGGTTCGTCCTTGTCGAACCGAAGTCGAACAGTCAGGACACAGATCGACAGAACCCCTTTGGATGGAGATGTCAACTGTCAGACCCCTTTGGATGTGTTGGGGGCCGCCGTTGGCGGCAGAGGGGATTTGAGGGGCATCGGACAGAAGTTACAAACACTGCCGTCACAATGGAATCTTCTACAAATTTATAGCACAGCCTTCTCCAACATGCATGGACCGGTCGTCCAGGGGACGGTTCGGCCAGGTTGCTCCAAGAAAATCGACCACAAGCACCAAATCTGTTGAAAGGCTTCAGGCGGGCGGCTAGTCCTTTTAAGGTTTCTCACCAAAACAAAAAAGAACTACTCAAAGTTCTGCGTTCTGCGTCTTGTGCTCATCACTAGAAATAATGGTACCTGTAGTACATGCGAATATGTTTCGAGTCCACAGCCACATTGTTCCCCAAGGCCCCGTCGCTGTTAATGGTTGCACCATGTTGGAACAATGAGAACTCTTTCAGAGTTTCTTGGGACAATCTTTCGTCCATGTTGCTACGAGTAGGGGTTGCTTGCTCGATGCAAACAACCCCTTCACCCCAGATTTAACAGGAAATGGCTGTCTCATGCCTTCCCACTCATGAAGGAATCAAACAACTACAGTGCTGTATATTATACAACTCCTGCACACTCGAACTTCCTGCGACCCCATCAGGCCCCTCATGGACCCTCTCGTCGCCTGATCCAGGCTGAGGACCAGTGTTCCAGCCTTCCCTGAGTCGGAAATATGGCACGTTCTTTCACATTAGTGTGGCTACGAGACCCAAAACACCCTTGGACAAACGAAGATGAAAATGCAAAGAACGGTTTGGGTGATTTGGGTCGCATCTTTGGACCCTGAAAAAGGATGAGTTGGGAAATATCTACTAACAAATCCTTACAATTCTACATACTTGTAGAATTTAAAGAATATGTAAATATGTAAATATACATATAATATATATATATAACAAGGTCGCTGAGAGCTCTTGGTGTGAGAAACATCCATGTGAGGTTGTCCCCAAAAGAACTGTCCTTTGACCACTCTGACTCTTGGTCTTATCGTTGTCTTTTCTTCATCGTTTGCCGTGCTTTGACTAGCTGCAACACGTGTATGCATGTGTAGTGTACAATTGTGTGCAATGCATGCATTCGGGCAAACATGACGCCATGGCGCAGTTCATTCCAGACTAGCAGCGCTCGTACATGTGTGGGCCAATTGTGTACAAGTGTACGGGAAGGTGTTTTAAGCTAGCTCTGTAATCGTTGTGCTATCATTATCGCTCTCGTGCCTGGCACAAAGATCGATTTCTATGCACAAATAAAAACACTGCAACACCACACTCCTCGTTGTCTTTGATGACGGGGAGACAAACCTGAGATAGAACAGCTTGGACATCAGTTTGGGGGATTGTTTTTTCATTTTGTCCTACCTGTGAGGGTCGGGCTTGTATGTGGTGTCGGACTATTCCTTAATCTTTGGGAGTTGGCTCGCTAGTATCATATACTCCTAGCCCAAATGTTGGATCTGTCCAAAATCTGGGAGAACAAGATAGATCAACATAGTACAACCACTATGACCGCGCAGCACCAGCCAATGGGCCCATCCCTCCCCCGCAACTCGCACCGTCCAGCTGGTCGATGATGCCCAGCACCAGCGTGTTGCTGGTGGCCGTGTTCGGGGAACTCCGGCGACCTGGGCCGCCAGCTCCGGCGGGATGCGTCCGAGACATGGTGAAGAATCGAAGACGATCAACGACACGAGATCAATCCACGTGGCTATGGCATGCTTTGTCCGAACGTGTGTGGGAAGAGGGTCACACTATATGTTAGGGCAACGTTCTGCTACTGCTTCGTAATATTGCATTGGCCATACCAGCATAAATACCCGAAACCGACATATGTAGGTGCCACTAAGCAGTACCAGAAACAGTGGTTGGTTCCAAGTCCAGGGTAGCTGGTGATCCTGCAGGGAGTTGTGTCGCCTCAATGGGAAACTACTCACCGTGATCGTGTGCGTCCCCCTCAAAGAGTTTCGCTCCTCTTTGCTCAGAAACACATCTTCACTCACTGTCGAGCTTTTGTTTCCACTGTCGGGAAGGTTGCTCCCAACAATGGCCAGTCATTGAGCAACATTGAAACCGTTCTGCACAAGAACGAGCTCCGAAGATACGGACGAAGCCTATGCCCGTTGACAACAAGGTGACAAACATGGCACTCATCCCAGAGACAAGATCGTTCGTCAGGTTGGGTTTAAGTTTAAGGAGCTAAATTACATAGCAAGGTCTATGCCATAATTGACCTTGGGGTTAAGGAACTCATTTCGCTCCACAAAGGCAAGCAACGGTAGAGGCAATAACAGCCAAAACCATGGACAAGTCTTCCCAGTCTTCCCTCGCAGTTTGGAGTCATGTAGTTTTCTGTGACGGCACGGACATACACTTGACATAAAATTGGATGGCCGGCCCCATTTGGGCCCATAAATGCCCATAAGCATGTGCATGAAACAAGAATGGGAGCGCATTGGCTCGGCTTGGTCAACACTTGGCTGGCCAATCAGTTGGCACCGGAGTCCGCAAAGTTCTTCGACCTGTCATGCGGTGCCCCTCATCAAACAGGTATGACTGCTCAACTTGCGAAAGCTGGCTAGTGTGCAATATGAACGGTGACCGAAACCAATGATGTCTTAGGCTGATTACTCGGCTGATTCAGCAGACCCCATGGGCATCAATGAAGGAGGTTCTGCAAAACACCAACACCACTAAGAAAAGACACATCTTGTGACATGACATCCAGGTAGAAAGGACCAGCAACTTAAGAATCAACTCAAATCAGCACTATATACTGTATACATTATCTCTCAACCTTAAGAATTTGTCGCGGGGCGACGCAACCGTGGTAGCTCAAACCTCTGGTAGGCCCCAGTGAGCGACATAAAAGTTTCTGCATGGTCAGGCAAGTCACCTTTCAAGGCCAAGCAGCTTTAGAAAGCGCCAAAGGTGAACCTGCGAAACTGCGGAGGCGACACTGCTTGCCAAGGCTGATAAGGCTGCATACATGCGGCGACAAAACAGCTGGCAACGCGCATCAAATCATTTCCTCTTCATTCTGCCAATACAAACGCTGGCAAATGATGCAATGGTCCAAGACTCTAAATCACGCGAGGAACAGCAGGCTCATATCACTGCAAAACATAACAAATCACGAAAAATCCTCTTGACTCCAGTGTAGCTGAGTAGTAGCTACCAGGAGTGTGTTAGGAGTAGCAACACCGCTAGTCAGTTGTTCTAAGTTAGTCTGCAAACTGGGTATGACGGTATGACCCACTCGGATCCACTTGGGTGCTGCTTGTTACACATCTCAACAACTTCAAAATGTTGACCATGAAGTGATACCAAATGAACAGGGTCATCATTGCTACTTATGTATTAGGTTGGAGGCCATCGCTACTAGGTGGAGGCCATCACTATTAGGTTGGAGGCCATCGCTAGTAGGTTACAAAGGCTTCATCTCTTCACTTTCCAACCAATCTTGAACGTCCTCTACCAAATGGGTGCGCGTCCAAGGACTGCACTATCCAATAATACCATGGGATCGCTGAACCTCGACCTCTTTGGTCAATGAATCTCTTCAGTTTATATCGATGAAGACTTCGCTCTCTATATACTACTCCAGATTCTTCATAAATATATATATATATAGTGACATGCCTTGGCAATGTACCGTATACAGCATAGGCTGGCTCATAGCAGGAGGTCGTTTAAACCCTCTCGATCCCCCTCGCCTCTAGGTGACCGGCCGTCGAGCACCAATCACAAACCAATCGTTCTGTCGCCAAGCAACATCCTCACAGCGTGACGGCCGGTTGGGGCACTTGGAGTGCTCGCACGGAACATCCAGCACAGGGGGACTCTGAGGTCATGCCACGTACGTAGTAGGGTTTTGTCAAGAATGTTTGGCACAGGTCCATGCGTCTGGTTGGCACTGTTCATATCACAGTCGATGGTCGGCCTTGACCAAGAAGCGAAGTGAAGGACTAGATACCTTTGGCAAGTACAAAGGAACTAGGTCACGGAACAAGGAGACCCTCTGTCCGACCCTCTGATCCTGGTAAAGTGGGTGAAAATCTCACGACCTTCACCACGTAACAAGTGGCCCCGACCAGACAAGTGGTGATCCTGCAGAACCATCAAGCTAATCCAGACTTAATTGGCAAGTGGATCCGCACGATCGCACGAAGCCGACCAATCCAAGCGTCGATGTCCGTGAAGCCCGCAGCTTCTAGCAGCTTGCAATGTTGGAAAACTCCCGGATGTTGATGAACTACATGATCGCCAATAAAGACATGGCCTCCCAACTGCAAGGCCATCCGTTCACCAGAAAAAGGGGCCGCCTTTCTTGTTGCCACCGGTTGGCAACTTTAGCCTTTTTGGATCAGAACCTTAATTACTATGTTTTGAAGGGAAATGTGTTTCTACCTTGTATGGACTTTTGGTGGCGAAATCCCCGCGAACGACTTGGTGTTGAGTGCGCACGCCACCATGCACGTGCTTCGACTAAGCTGTGGGCTGCCCCCAATAGAGTTATAAGTAGTAGAGGCTCTTACTCTCTAGTGTTTAGCCATGCTGCCAAGAGATTCAAACACCATGTTCATCTATATCATTCTCTGTCCACATTGGGTCTGGCTAGAAACTCTAAAACCTTCACAGCTGTAGGTTTTGGTTGGTTCTTATTGTTCCTCTTATGTCTTACCACTCTGCCACAGTAGGGTTACTGCAGTTCCAGGCCATAGCCAAAACTTCTGCCTTGCACTGCACCAATACAATTTTTTCCGCTTCATTCGCCACCAATCAATACGACCCCACCTCCAGGCTTCACGCTTGCATAAAGCCCAGCAAACATCCGGGCATAGCCTGCGCAAATGGCCTCCCCTGCCGTGGAGCGGCGGTTTCTCGAGCAATGCGTTGCAGTTGCTGGATTATACTGAACTACATACCCACCAAATATGTATGCATGTATATGCTTTGCAAGCAAGCCCTTAAGACTGACTCGGTCGGTGGGTAGTACGACTAGTTTCCCTAAAAATCTAGGAACCAAATCATTAGTGCGAAGCGTGAGCTAAAGCGTGAGCTATCCTGCTTCCTTACTAGTAGCTCAAGTAAGGTACTAGCTACCGCTTCTACTAGCTACCTCACCACTAGCGGCCTACCCCCCTTAAAAACAAAAAAACGAGATTTGGTTTTGACCTCACTCTTTTTCCGGTGCCCGCGTTGAGCTGCACCTGCTACGGTCTCCAGCTGCAGCTTCGCCGCGTAGTGCGGCGGTGGAGCCACGATGTGGCGCACCGCCTGCAGGGCCAAGATGCAGTCATAGCCTTCGGGCAAAGAGCCTGGCGACCGGCAGGGGTTATCCTCATTTTGAGACTTCAAAGGGTTTTTGGTGCAGAGCAGTGAGATAAATCACCAGCAAGATGTTACAATTCCAACATGTGTCCTATCCCTGAATTAGACTACTTCAGTCTGAAATGAAGGACCTTCCTTCGCCAAACCTGTTCATTCAAATGCCTCCTGTTTTTGCTACCTTTTTCCCCACCAACGGGTTTGGATGTAAATGCTTCACGTGCTGAGAAAATCTAAGGAAACCCAATCTGACGTCGTGCATTCCGACTTCGACGTGGCTTCTCCTGGGAGTGGCTGGCCGTCGGCGTGCACGGCTGCAGCAATGCAGGAGACACAGGAGGAGCCATCGGAGGCTTCGGCCTGCAGAGAATGAAAGAACAAGCCTGTCCGAGGAAGCAATTCCAACCTAATAGCGATGGCCTCCAACCTACTAGCGATGGCCTCCAACTGAAGAGCGATGGCCTGCAACCTAAGAGCGATGGCCTCCAAGCTAATAGCGATGGCCTCCAACCTACTAGCGATGGCCTCCAACCTACTAGCGATGGCCTCTAACCTAATAGCGATGGCCTCCAACCCACTAGCGATGGCCTCCAACCTACTAGCGATGGCCTCCAACCTAATAGCGAAGGCCTCTAACCTAATAGCGATGGCCTCCAACCGAATAGCGATGGCCTCCAACCTACTAGCGATGGCCTCTAACCTAATAGCGATGGCCTCCAACCTACTAGCGATGGCCTCTAACCTACTAGCGATGGCCTCCAACCCACTAGCGATGGCCTCCAACATACTAGCGATGGCCTCCAACTGAAGAGCGATGGCCTCCAACCTACTAGCGATGGCCTCCAACTGAAGAGCGATGGCCTGCAACCTACTAGCGATGGCCCCTAACCTAATAGCGATGGCCTCCATCCAAATAGCGATGGCCCCCAACCTAATATCGATCGCCTCCAACCTACTGGCGATGGCCTCCAACCCACTAGCGATGGCCTCCAACCTACTAGCGATGGCCTCCACCTACTAGCGATGGCCTCCATGCACATCCAACCTACTAGCGGCCTAGCGATGGCCTCCAACCTAATATCGATGGCCTCCAACTTAAGAGCGATGGCCTCCACCTGCTAGCGATGGCCTCCAACCTACTAATAGCAATGGCCTCCAACCTACTAGCGATGGCCTCTAACCTAATAGCAATGGCCTCCAACCTACTAGCGATGGCCTCTAACCAAATAGCGATGGCCTCCAACAAACTAGCGATGGCCTCCAGGAAGAGAGTGAATACAAGAGTTAATTAGAATTAACTCCGGTGTTAATTCTTCATCTTCAACCCCTATTCAACCCTGCACTCGATGGGGAATTAACTCAAGAGTTAATTCCCTCAGCAACGTTGTGCACAAAGACACACCAAGAATGAATTAACACTGGAGTTAACTCTTTTCCTTGGGTTGGGTTTCTTGTTTCCTTTTCCTTGTTTCTCTATGGATGTTTCCTTTAGCAAGGGAGAAGAGAGGCAGAAGGCAGGGAAGCACCAGCAAAGAATTAACTCTGGAGTTAATTCTTTTCCTTGGTCCCCTGGTTCCTCTTCTCCTGGTGAATGAAACCTTTTCCATAGCAGGTCTTATGGATGTTTCCTTTAGCAAAGGAGCAGAGAGGCAGGAGGCAGGGAAGCACCAGCAAAGAATTAACTCGGGAGTTAATTCTTTTTCCTTGGTCCCCTGGTTCCTCTTCTCCTGGTGAATGAAACTCTTTTCCATAGTAGGTCTTATGGATGGTTCCTTTAGCAAAGGAGAAGAGGGGCAGGAGGCAGGGAAGCACCAGCAAAGAATTAACTCTGGAGCTACTTATTTTT